TCATATGAACAATGAACTCCAGAGTGATGACGAATTAATCACAGTATGCTTTCTGCCTGCCAACGTGACTGTAATCATCCAACCGATGATACAGAGTATCAAGATGCGATATCGAGAGAAGCTCTTGCTTCATGTGATGGCCCGCGACAACGAAGGCAACACAGAAGAATGTTTGAAGCAGATGTCGTTGAAGGAAGTATGTTTTTGGATACACGAAGCCTGGGCTGAATTACATGACGTTGCAGTCATGGAAGAAAATCGGACAAAAGTGATTGATGGAAAATTTCTTCACGAAGATGATGGGCAGGGATAATGATCATAACGACACCATGACTGCCCACAATGTGCAAGAACGGTATGCTAGCAAAGCATACACGGACGAAGATATCCTTAAACTTGTGCTAGATGACCATGACCAGTCAGCGATCTACGACGAATCAGAGCAGCTTGAAGAACCAGATCAAAGTGAACCATCAAATACGGGAGCTACCAGTAATGCGGAAGCAGTACAAATGTTTGATAAAATCATTCATTGGGCTGAAGAATCAGCCCTTTCGATTGATGACACCATCTATCTGCATCGTATTCGGGAATTGGCTATGATGAAATCTATTGAAAACTGAAGTCAAACCAAAATGGATGTTCATTTATTACAACAGTTAAGAAAACAAGTCCAAGCGGTATAAAAGCCTTTTCAGCAGATAGCAATCCAAAACATAAATTCATATTTGTACCAAAACACTAAGGGAGCATACTTAAATGACGTAGCATTTTTAAACAACTTAAGACCCCTCTTCCCTTTTGTAGCGTATTTTCCTATACCTCCTCCGCCTTCCTCCTATAACCCTCTCCTTGACCTATAATGTTACAGTTATCCCCCGATTAACGCATTGGGTGTTGCCAGTCACTCATCGTAATTTTTTCAGCTGTGTTTCATTCGATTGAGCTGATTCGGGTGTGACAAGCTTATGGTTGACCCTAATCACATACAAAAAATCAGCTTAATCGGATGAAGCACAGATGAGAAATTGCGGTGGGTGGCTGGTACCACCCACCGCGTAAATCAGGGGATTAGCGTACGTCATTTATGTACAATCCCTTAAATAATGGTGGAAAAAACAGTTAAGCATCATTTGCACTCCACAGAGAACTTATGAGAAGATCAAGGCTATAATGAAAATATGAAGCATGGAGCGATTCTGAGCGGTTAGACGAACTACAGATAGGTTCAGCGAACATCAAAGATCTTAAAAGTGCTTAAGAGAGGATCTGCGAACATTGGACATTAAAGAGCTTCAAAGAACTCCAGAACCGGTCCAGAAAGCTTCAAAGATGTCCAACCAGTTCCGGGCGAGTTCACACATCTTAGTATTTAAGGAACTGAACTGCCGGTGGAAGCATAACTGTCCCATGTGACATTTTGACTTTTTTGAGGTTATGATGCTTAACGTTATAAATCAATGCATGTTTTAAAAATATTATATTAAAACATGCTGTTTATTCTAGAAAAAAAAAAAAAAATGTGAAGTCTTTTGTCCCATTGCAAAAATGGACGCATATCTGTCCCACTGCTCCAATTTTTATTGTGTATAAGAAATTCTTCAAAAGTTATAGTCTGTTATCCAAATAATGCATCGTAAACATATTACAAGATCCAAACGATTACCCAAATAGTAAAATTAATCTTTGAATTATTTGGATGATACCTCGATAACGTCGTAAGCACATTAACACTTTTTTTTTTTGAAAATTTAAGCTATCATTCTCAGTTCTGTTGCTATTTACAAACAAATAAATTATATAATGTACTAATCAATTTGCAACGCCTTGCCCTATTTGTACCTTTTCGTGACACATATGATAATTTGGTATTGAAAAACTATAGAGTAAAATGATGAGATTTTTTTAAATAAAAGAAATGCATACAACGGTTAACTTTAAATAACTATCATTCCGATGCATGTTGCTTGGTCGGAAGACCAACTAAAAATGATGTTTCATCTTCTCCAATAACAGGTACGACAACTGCCATCAGAGAGGCCTTCCTATCTACTTCAATTCAACGAGGATACCTTTACCAAAGTACGTTAGCTTCAGTAGAGAACGTATCGTTGGCGATCAGCTGGAGTTGTTTCTTGGAAAACAGTTAGCAGTATTTAAGGTCCTCACTGTTGATGTTGCTTGCGTATCCTAGCTCATATCGTCCTTTTGGAGAAAAACAATTTTCTCGTTATGTCCACGTACGGGCGAGGCTTGAATAAGTTCAACGTATACTGTACGTGTAACGTGTACATGCAGACACTGGAAATGATCGTGCGTATGCGCCAACAGGAGCAATTGTCTCGTTAAAGACTAATAGCTATCACTACCACTGGAACCACCGTACTGCTTTAAATTTTCTATGGCAGACGTTTCAGGCCTACATTCAAATCAGTGTCAACATTTCAAAGGGGCGTAATTGCTTTTGTAAACATTGGCTTTAGCCGTCGATATCTCGCAAGTAAATGCTCACCCCTCCAAATTAGCAATGTTAGCTGGTAGATGAAACATTCCTCTGCCTGTGTCTCTGTGGTGTCATTAACTTTCATGAGTGAGCTTTTTTCCATGAGAAATCGACGGCTAAATCCATTGTTTACAAATGTAATTACGCCTCTTTGAAATGTTGGTACTGAAATCAACAATAATTATTTTAAACTCCAACCGTCACTCACGAAGTGTCAAACATAACAACAGCAGCAACTGAGAAGTTGTTCACAGTGGGACAGATATGCGTACATTGTTCAACTCGTCAGAGAAATTGGCAGCATAAGTGTCACAGAAGATTTTGTAATGGAAAAATTTCTTTTTATGCAAAATTTTAACAAACTTTCTATGGAATAGTTGTATTACGTCAGTTTTTCGAAGCACAACCAAATTTTTCCGTGAAATTTTACGATAGCAGCAAAACGTCTGTTCAATCTTTAACTGCTGTTTTCTCATTTTTGTGTCTTGTAACATGGGACAGTTATGCTTCCACCGGCAGTGAACAGGTCGTGGAAGTTCATACATATTGTAGGGTATCTGAAGTATTTTGGAAATGTCGATCTCGGTTCGAAAATACTCATATTCAGCCATTCCATAGCAAAACGATACACAGCAAAAAAAATATTTTGATATCACATCCAAGTGGATGCATTTCAATCGTGTCAAAAATATGGTGTAATATTTCTTGCCAAAAAGGACAAAATTAGCATTAATACAGTGCATGAACTGACATTACGCTGCTTCTGCTGCATTTTTTTTTTTGCTTTATTATAGAGACTTTTAGCCTTTAGCTGGTTCGTCTTTTTATTTTTTATTTTTATTTTTGTATCTGCAAGGACTTTCTGTGGAAAAGATCTGAAATGAATTTCTATGTGATTTCGAGGAGAATTTTTGAAAATCGTGAGGAAAATAGCAGGTGAAGGAGGATTTCAAGAGAATTCTGATGAGAGTTCAAAAAGAATTATAAGCAGAATTTAAAGGGTGTTCAGAGAATAATTTCAAAGGGATTCTGATGAAGATTCGGATAACAACTTCAAGAGAAAAATATGAAGGGAATCGTATTCTGAGAATAATTTTAAAATAAATGGAAAAAAGAAGAAGAGAGAGAAAATCTAAAGAGAATTCCAATGGATTTCTGATGAGAGCTCAATCAAAATTTAGAGAAGAATTTCAAAGGAATCTATTTCTCATAAAAGTTGCAACGGAATTTCAAGAAGGATTCCAAGGAAATGCTTGGGGGAGTTTCAAGGGTATTCCACAGAGACTTCCACAGAGAATTCCATGGTAATTACGAAGAGAGTTTCAATGGAATTGTATGATTAGTTTAAGGAGAATTCCGTGATAATTTTGAATAACATAACATGTTCATAATAACAATAGTCGAGAAGCCAAATTTGGACGGTGTAGCTATCAGCTTCATCCTGTTCTACGGTGCATACATTTTCCGATACACCTGAACTGAAATTACAACAGATCTTTATAAAAATGTCTCTCAAAAATAATTGTATTCAATATAACGGAGCACAAGCAAACGCCCCATCCAAAGCTAGAGTGGGAAATTCAACCTTCCCTGTTAACGAATGATAACGAATCATCATACATACTTAAGTGGAACGCAACTCCATTGTGGTACCACTGTTCAACCCATGTGCAACTTAATTATACTCACTTAATCAAGATAACAAACCCATTCACAACGCACATTCTAAGCTCCCATCATCGATAAACAGACGCAATGACACAACCCGAAGCGTCAAAACAAAGCTCCAATTGTTTTAATCCACACACGTGCAGCACTGAGGGAGCTGAATAAAAACTCCACATCGCTTCCACCATGCTTCCAAAGACGTAAAAAAGCGAACGAGAGAGAGAGAGAGAGAGACCACGGGCATGACTCATGCCTGCGTTCAACTCCCTTTGCGTTGGGTGTCCATTCCAAGCTATTTTCAAACAAACAAACCCGCTAGCCGGCTGCAGTTTTCACCCAATGACGTCATGTCGGCTACCGTCGTAAACTTTCCCCCATGACGGACCGCCGGGAACCGATTTCCGCTCCCAGCATCCAAGGGGACGTGCAAAATTCATCAAAAGTGCTCGCAGATGTCAGTCAGCCAGCAGAGGGCATACATAACTCATCTCGCGTACATTTGCATACAGAAATCGCTCCGATTCGGTAGCCAGCCCAGAGAAGCGCCAGGCCAACCATCAGCAACGTTTTTTTTTCCCCCTCAGAGACACAAAAAGAGTGACTCTGACTTGGATTTTATTTTTAGAACCCCCACGAAATTTCCCGATATTGCACATTCCTCGCACACTCATTCTGACACTTTCACTCCGGTGATTAGGGAAAATGAGGCAAATTTTTGGAACAAAACCGAAAATTTAAGGATCTTTCTATTGTCTGTTGACTGAAACCTCTAGACACTGAACTGAAATTGTTCCCTTGGAGGGAGAGGCTAACTACAACTCGCACTTACCTCGAGGTGGTCTCGAAGAAGTTGGACTCGCGGTTCATCAGTTCCGATCTAAATTTAGACATCTCCTCCTCCATCTTTCGCATCTCGGAGTCGAACCGCTCGCGGATGCTGGCAAACTCCGTATCGATCACGCTGAAGTCACCGAGCTTGATCGGGATGTTGCGCTTGTTTGGACTGTCGGCCATTTTTCACGGTTACGGTGTTCGATTTGGGATTTAGCAGAAATAAACAATCGGACAATCCTCCGGACGAGCTGGTGCGTTGGTACGTCGGAAGTCAATCACTGTGCTGGAATTGATAGCGATTCGTAGACGGCTCTCACTTTCTCTGCTGCCCGACTAGTACCAATCAAAAGTGTACTTTTTCTTTTTCCTAAAGGCGCAAGGTCACACTTTTACTGCTTTTTTCGCTGTGTCGCACACACCCAGCCAAATGCTTGCCAGATTCACACTCTGTGCTGTGCGAGACAACAATTTATTTTGACGTTCACTTGAAAAGGTTGTGCAGATAGATTAAGATACAACAATGCACACACGGGAGACTCTCTTCTTCAACTGATTTGCTCTCTGTCTGGTGCGAACGCTTTTATTCGAATGATTCCTTTCGCATTCGCTTTGGGAGCATCCATAAATGACGTAGCATATTTTGGATCAATTTTAGACCCCTCCCCCCCCCCCCTCGTAGCGTATTTGGCTATATCCAATACATGGCCAGTCACAAATTCTGAAACCCCCACCTCCCCCCTCAAATGCTACGTCATTTATGCATGTACCTTTTCACAAAATGAATGACGGCGACGGAGAGCGAGAGCGGGAGACAGGAGAGAGATGTCATCCATTGATGAAAGAGAATGAGCATGTTTCTCTCTCGCGACTCGCGAGAGAAGTCCCGCAACAAACACCCGACTAAAACGTGCTGACGAATTCGCGACCGTAGGTTCTAGAACGAGCCGGATACATCGTCCAGAACGGGTCGTTCCTGTGGATCTTGTCTATAAATGGATTCAAATTGAGCAGCGTGGGTCGAATGAGAAGTATAGTATAGTGCAAGAAAGACACCACGTGAATGAATCACTACGTCTGATGTCACCCACGTGGTTCAAAAGGTAGACAGACAACCGTCAGCTATTTGAATCATTCAAATGAGTAGGATTACGCGGAAAGTCACTTGGCTCGCTTGGCTCTGATTATGGAAGCGTTTTCAATCGTTGTTCTTTTTGTCGTGGTCCATATCCATATTTTGTAGACCTGACCAGGCGCGTAGGAGAATTAATGCATACGATGAAATGTGAGAAGCGATGAGCTGCTAGTGATTTACTCAGTTTGTAGTATACTGTAAAGGCAGTTGTCAAAGAGAATGTTGAATGGAATTGGGTTCATCTTGAACAATTTGACAGTGAGCATGCATAAGGGCCTAACTGCGCCGATCGATTCTCTTAATCGAGTTTCTCTTCAAGTTGCTACAGCTAAGGGCAGCAATTTTTAGAAATTTGTCCAATACAGTGCTGTAACAGGTTGTATTGGCCTTCAAATGCAATAATAAACGCACCGAGAAATGTTAGCCAAGTGCGTAATTAACAAGGGAGAAAATCGACGAAGAGAATCGGTCATTGCAATTAGGCCCTTATGAACGCTTACTTACCTTACCAATCATGCCAAGGCCTTGTTGTCCTGTGCTGTCCGAAGAAGTCGTCTCCACACTTCACCACCCTCGTAGGGAGCTGTTCATTAACTACGTAGACAGTTTTTTTTTGTGACGGTCTCTAAACGTTTGGTTTTAGTTTCAATATTACAAACCTTTTCATCAACTTTAGACACGTATCAATCCATCCCTTCGACCCACAATGTCTGGCCTGATCCACACAAAGGACTTCATGGGAATATGTAATCCGACTCGCTGTCGCCACATGGTAGTAATATTTAATAGCCCAACAACAGTAGCGGTGGCGGGCGCCATTTAATCACATAATCAAGTCGGGAAAGTTTGTATTTGTTTGTACTCCGCTCCAGGCGTTCTGCAAGCAAAAGCTCAGTAGCAATGAACCCATTTCCATACGCCATGTAGGTACCTACCTTTACGACGGACGGCTGCAACAAGTTAGACGGTGACCAAGCTGGTGTGGAAATGTGCCACTAGGTCGTTCGTTCACCTTCATAGAACCTTCAGTAGCATCGTTTGGGAAGGGTTTTTTCCATTATGAAACTAGAAAATTGTTCCTTAATTCATGCCATAATGTGACTAAAATGGGTAGAAGTGTGATGGCGGATCAGAGCACCCACGAAAACCGGCATAGTAGTCGTCGTCGTCATCTCGCCATCACCCACCACTGACCGACGAATGTCAGTATATATCGTGGGTGTTATAGTATATGATGTTATTAATGGATACCTCTCTTCGTCACATACAATATATTCATATATTTAACCAAAGCTTTGTTTTGATTACTGTCCCCCACGTGCATAATGAGGTTTGGTGTAGCGTATTCAGCGTATTCGGTTGGAAGTCAACGCTCTACCGTAGATATGCCGTGCAATGTGACGAATCCGTTTTAAAAATGGAAAGTGTTGCAAATCGAGTAAATCATCTTGAACAAATCTGGCTCGGTGTATCCCGCTAGAACAAGAAGAAGATGATGAATCGTAACAGATTCTAGACAATTTTGGATGAATGTGCGGTTTATTGGTTCTAGAACGAATGTTTTCACTGCTTATGGATGATGATTCACTCAGAAGCAGAGCAGGGTCGCCTGAAAAAAAAAATCTGGTTCTGCCCATCCCTAATAAATGGGTACCATACACTAAAGCTATCATAGATGGTACGACCATACCACATAAAGTTGGAATGATAACCCGAATTGGTGGTTAGGCGTTTCTTATGGTTATTGTTTATGCGTTTATCTCAAGATTACTGATTGTTTCAACAAGTACTATGTAAGCCTCACACACTACCGGAATCCGCCACCCGCTTCTCAAGCCGTGGAAGTAAAAATCGACAGTGAGCATGCATAAGGGCGAATACGCGATGATCGACTATCTTCATCGATTTTCTCTTTGCATTGCTACAGCTAAGCGAAACAATTATCTAGAATTTGTTCAATGCAGAGTAGTAACAGGTTGTATTGGCTATCAAAAGCAACATCAAACGCACCGAGAAACGTTAAATCTAGCGAGTTATTAACAAAAGAGAAAATCGACGAAGAGAATCGATCATCGCGTATAGGCCCTTATGCATGCTCACTGTCGAAATATTGTTTTTTTCGTAAAACCTAATTTAAATACTAGTAGAACCTAACATAAGAAATTAAATTAGTTAGTTACTAAAAGTTAACTAGTACGGATTAATGAATTATCAAGATTACAAAGTTGGCGTTTCTGGTGAATTTAAGAGGCTAATCGAGAGATCAAGAGTCTAATCAACCTACTACCGTGCGAAACCACTTTCCGGACGTAGCGGAACAAATGGAAAACACTAAACGGAAAATTTAATTTGTTCCCGAAGACGACAACAAGATGGAAGCACAGATTTCCGTAAACTTAAACAAACTTTATTTCACCGTTGATCTTGTCAAAGCTCGTAATCGACTCCACATCGGAATCAGTTACCTCCAACATCTCATACTCAAACGCCAGTCGCTCTTCTAGCTGCCTTATTTCCAACGCATGTCTTGCTTCCAGGGCCTTCACTTGCAGTTGCCGTAATTTCACTGAGCGTCTCGATAACTTCGAAGATGCCTTGTCACTACTGTTCGATGTTCTCTCATTATTGCCGGCCGAACTTGCCAACTGTTCTGTGTTTCACTGTTCATCCGCTATGAAACCTTTTGGAATAACCTTCTCTAGAAATTTGACCTGATGCTGTAACTGCTTCGGAATCGCACCAAGCAATCTCGAATGTACTTCAAGTCTCGTTGCAGCATCTCCCGACAGCGAACTCTGCTGCTGCAACTGCAACGAACCCCTTCTGCAACTGATCAAACTGCTCCTGCATTCGCTCCTCAATATGCTTTTGTTGTTCGTCAGTCTGCTGTGGGCGTTTCTGTTGCTCTTGTTGCCACTGCTTCTGTTGCTGTTCAAAGCGCTCCAACTGCTCACTCACATACCTCTGATTATCCAATGATCTCCGCACGCACGCGTTACTGGATCATCCTGAATACTGTCGTTCAGGTTCACGCAATCATAATGATACACTCTAAAAAATCTTCACGTCCGATTTACGTGAAATATCACGTAGCTGATTTGTATTTAGAAAATTTCAAATGTTACGTGACGTTTGTAACTTTGACCTGCATTACACGTCATGTCAACTAAAAATGTTGGTGAAATTTACCGTATATTCACGTAAACAGATTTAGTGTATTTATGTTTGTGTGTTTGGAAATTCTATATTTCCGTGAAACGAGAAACTGGTATCGACTTGATGACACTTACCGCAGCTCGCCCCATCACCACCAGGAGATTCACCTTTTCTCTTGCGAGACTTCCCAGCACTCGCTACCTCGCTCGCTACGCTACCGTTACGTTTAATAGGGAAGCGTGTAGGAAATTCTATGAATGGAACACCTCTGCCGGTGTAATCCGCATACGACACAATCGATCGAGATCAGCTATGGCAGTTATGCACGAATACGGATTTCCGGATAAACTGACTCGATTGGTCAAGGCGACGATGAATCGAGTGATGTGCGTTGTTCGAGTATCGGGGACACTTTCGAGTCCCTTTGAATCTCGAAGGGGGTTACGGCAAGGTGACGGACTTTCGTGTCTGCTATTCAACATCGCGTCAGAAGGTGTGATCAGAAGAGCAGGGATAGACACGAGTGGCACGATCTTCAGGAAATCCATCCAGTTTCTTGGCTTCGCCGATGACATCGACATCATGGCACGGAACTGTGAGACGATGACGGAAACGTACATCAGACTGAAGGCTGAAGCTAGGCGAATTGGACTTGCCATCAACGCATCGAAGACGAAATACATGAGAGGAAGAGGTACTAGGGAAGACAACGTTAGCCTCGCACCCCGAGTTCAGATTGACGGTGACGAAATCGAGATGGTCGATGAGTTCGTGTATTTGGGCTCACTGGTGACCGCCGAAAATGATACCAGCAGAGAAATTCAAAGACGCATTATGGCAGGGCATCGTGTCTACTTTGGACTCCGAAGGCCACTCCGGTCGAATAAAATTCGTCGCCGCACGAAGTTGACTGTCTACAAGACGCTGATTAGACCGGTGGTCCTCAACGGTCCTGGACTATGCTCTATGGACTATGGTGTTTTCGAATGGAAGGTGTTGCGTACCATCTACGGTGAAGTACAGATGACGGAATGTGGAGGAGACGAATGAACCACGAATTGCAACAGCTGCTGGGAGAACCATCCATCGTCCACATTGCAAAAATTGGGTGATTACGGTGGGCTGGGCACGTCGTAAGAATGCCGCACGACGATCCAGTGAAAATGGTTCTAGAAAGCGACCCAACAGGCCGCTTCAGACAAAGCAGGCCCTTCCGACGAAGTTATTGTTCTTGGCGATTTTAACCTACCGGACATTGCATGGACTCCAACCCATAGTGGTTTCTTTTGTCCTGATCACGAGCGTTCATCTTTCCACGTAGGAACCATCTAGCTCCTGGACAGTTATAGTACCGCAATTCTGTCACAAATCAATGGCCTGTTGAATGAAAACAACCGCACCCTGGATCTCTGCTTTGTGAGTGCTCGTGATACAGCTCCTTTCCTCTCCACGGCACCCGAACCTTTAGTCAAGGTAGTGCATCATCACCCTGCTTTAGTTATCGTGATCGAAAATAATATTGTCCATGATTTCACCAGCACTCCAAACGCTGTGTCATATGACTTCCGTAGAGCTGACCATTGCAGTATCGTCCATGTGCTGTCTAATCTAGATTGGGAGCATATTCTAGATCCTGTAGACGTCAACATTGCTGCACAAACCTTTTCTCACGTCTTGGCATATGTCATTGACAGACACGTTTCCAAAAAGATCATCCATATCGACTCTCGCGTCTAGTGGATGACGAAAGATCTTCGCTCGTTGAAAAGAACTAAGAAGGCTGCTCTCAGAAGATTTACTAAACTCCGCACACTGCCACTGAAATGCTACCAGTGCTGCAAAATCTCGACAATACACAGTGATATTGACACTTCTGTTTTGGTCACTCATTTGAACTATCAGTCACAGTCAACGTCAAGGCAAACCAAGTCAATTGTCAATGACAATGCTGTCAGTGACGAACATGTGTAGATTTTTATATTAACTAAATTTGTAACGAAATTAAATAATTTGAGCGACACAATTACATGGATCCGTTAATGTAAACAAGCGTCTACGTCCTGAACTACTTGGATAACAATAATATGACACAGAATGTACGAAATTACACTTTTTGTTACCAGGTGAATCTTTGTCATTGACGAAACAATGAATGAGATTTTGACGAAGGTTTTTTTGAGGATCAAGTCTGTCAGTGACTATGTGACGAACAATTTTGTCAATATCGCGCGAAAGTCTCTCAATGACAATGACAAATCTCAGCACTGAATGCTACTATGTCAGACTCAACCACGAGTATAAGCGGTTAAGTCGTCTCTGTTTTCAACGCTATCAAAGGAGGATTCAACGGCGGCTAAAATCACACCCGAAATCCTTCTGGAACTTCGTAAATGAGCAACGCAGGGAAGTCGGCTTACCCTCTTCCATGATTTTTAATGGTGAAACTGCTGGAAATCAACAAGACATTTGCAACCTGTTCTCAGCCAAATTTGCTAGTGTGTTTGTAGCCGAGCAACTATCCGCTAATATCATTACTTCCGCGGCCAGTAATGTTCCTTTGATCAACCAAACGCTCAGCATGGTCGAAGCCACTACAGATACGATTTCTAGAGCAGCATCTAAACTTAAGACTTCAACTAAGGCTGGACCCGATGGTGTTCCGTCGATTATTCTTAAAAAGAACATCACTTGTCTTTTAGATCCACTGCGCCGCATATTCCAGCTCTCTCTTTCCAGCGGCATCTTTCCGTCTTGCTGGAAGACTACGGATATGTTTCCTGTTCATAAAAAGGGAAGCAAACGCGACGTAAACAACTACCGGGGAATCACGTCGCTGAGTACTGTATCAAAACTTTTTGAATTGGTTGTCATAGAGTCCCTAAATGCGCATTGCAGGCAATATCTAAGTACAGATCAACACGGATTCATAACTGGGCGTTCCACAACTACGAACCTGCTGTGCCTAACATCTTACATCACAGACAGTTTGATTGCTCGGACCCAAACGGACGTTATCTACACAGATCTTACGGCAGCCTTCGATAAGCTGAACCACGAAATTGCGATCGCTAAGCTTGATAGGCTAGGGATCGGTGGAAATCTTTTGAGATGGTTTCGTTCATACCTCACGGAGCGCCAATTGACAGTAACTTTGGGTACTTGTCGCTCAGCAAGCTTCTGCGCAAAGTCCGGTATACCTCAGGGCAGCCATCTGGGACCATTGGTATTTCTCCTCTACTTCGACGACGTTCACCATGTTATCACAGAGCCACGATTATCGTTTGCAGACGATCTGAAAGTTTTTCTGCGCATCCGGTCACTCGCCGACTGCCGTTCTCTCCAAAATCAGATTGACATCTTTGCTGACTGGTGTAGTCTAAACCGACTGGTGGTCAACCCAGCTAAGTGTACAGTTATTACTTTCTCACGCAAGAAACAACCGATTATTTTCAACTACAAACTACTAGGCACGACTATCGAACGGGTGCGCTGCGTGAAAGACTTAGGCGTTTTTCTAGACTCAAAGCTGACATACTCACACCATATATCGTATGTCGTCGACAAAGCGTCCAGAACGCTTGGCTTAGTCTTCAAGATTACTAAGAACTTCACGGACATTTACTGCTTGAAATCGCTCTATTGCTCTCTCGTACGATCTACGTTGGAATACTGCTCTGCTGTCTGGAGCCCGAACTACAATAATGGGGCCGAGCGAATTGAATCTGTTCAACGACGTTTTCTTCGCTTCGCGCTCCGTAAGCAGCCTTGGAGATACCCACTTCGTCTTCCAAGCTACGAGAATCGCTGCCAATTGATCAATATCGAGCCCTTACGTATCCGAAGAGATGTTTTCAGAGCCTTAACCGTCGCCGATACTCTGCAAGGAAGAATTGACTGCGAAGCAATTCTGCAACAAGTGAACATTAATGTTCAACCTCGATCACTACGCAACAGTCTTATGCTGAGACTTCCACTTCTTCGAACTAATTATAGCATAGGGAGCGCTATTTACGGCTTGCAGCTAGTGTTCAACCGAGTAGCGTCGATGTTCGATTTCCACTTGACACGGAATATGCTTCGCCGAAGATTCTCTGCCTTTTTTGCTGACCGAAGGCGCTTGATACCCAACAGCTAAGTGTAAAATTTAAGACTTATAAATTTTTAGTAACTTGACAATGCTTTCCAAGTTATTTTCGTTTGTAACTGTAGTAACTGTAGTATATGTATGTCGTCTGTATAATCTGTACTTTTTTACAACACATCATTGGGACTATTTCAAGTCTGTTGATGCAACCATAACAAATAAACAAATAAAATAAACAACAGGAACAAGAAGAAGAGGCGCGCAGTGGGCAAGGTGAATCGACCAAGTAGAAGGCGACCTGCGGACCCTTCGCAGACTACGAGACTGGCGAAGTGCGGCCATGGATCGAGTAGAGTGGAGACGACTTCTTCGGACAGCAGAGGACAACAAGGCCTTAGCCTGATTGGTAAGGTAAGTAAGATGTCTCTTTTAAGCTTTAGTTGTTGACGCGTTCATCTCGATAAAATTGATAAATAGCAGATTTTTAGCGATGGGCCCAAACTTAGATCCATAGGTCAACATTAGAGCCATTTCCCCTATGTATCGAAAATACAAGTTTAATTTCATTTCCAATTGGACGCTATACGTACCCAGTATTTTCGTAGAACGTAGCTCGTCGAAGATGATGCTTCTGTTTCTAGCATCCAAGACCATTTCTGATCGTTCGCATCTACTGCAGATCTTGAATAACCTGTTGAGAAGAACAACAACAGCGGATCAGACCATTCAGATAAACACCCAAACAAAAAGATCAGAACCTACCGTTTACGCAAGGATTACAAAATGTGATACTCACTCCGACAGGGATCGTCATCATCGCCAACACACTGAAACCCACACACACACACACACACGCCGTAATCTTATCATGTAGGCAATTTATTTAACATTTATCTATGTACACCACTTCTCTTACTCTTACCGCTACATTTTGTTTCTTCTGCCTTTATCAGAGTGATTCAATTTGATTTTATACTTTCATTCCGTGATCATTTTTTGCATTTTAAAATTATAAGAAAAAAAACATTAACAAAACTACGTTTATAGAACAAAATCACCCATCTCTCTCGCACGCGCGTTCATCCGGACATCACGACGGCAACAGCCACACCCACTTCAGCCAGTTTTGAACTACTTAACCCTCCTCTCGCTTTCTCTCCTTCCCTTCTCGTACCGAAACGCTTGTTCTCAGTCCTTTCGTTTAACTACACTTTGAACAATGATCAAATAAAATTGTAAGACGAAACTATATCCTTTCATTTTACCACAGTTCTATTTTTTACAATTTAACACGCCCGGTACGTGCACTTTCTCATATCCTACTGCTACTGCTTTGATGATTCGAATGTTTATGCTGCCCCTGGTGTTTGCTGGGGGGATGTGACTGGTGGGAGAAAAGGATACTACTGCTTTTACTACTGCTACTACTACTACTACCGCTACTACTGATGCTGCTGCTGCTACTACTAATATTACTAGAACTACTACCACTGCCGGCTTGCAGCCGGGAATGCCGAACCGATTGGTGATTCGAATAACCACTATTGTTGATGCAGTTCGCTTTCGCTTGTTGCTGCTGTTTTTGCAGCAGCTTTTCTTCCTGTTTCATCGCTTCCAGCTGCCCATCCCACCACTCCTGGATGCTGTCGGCCATCTTCCGCCTTCGAAACCGCAGCGCCTCGTTGACGCACATTTCGATAAACTCCTGCTTCATCTGCAAGTCGCCCTTGATGAGGATGAGGTGCTCCAACAGTTGAGAGTAGTTACGTCCGGGCCGTCGGATGTCCTTGAACACGATCGTTCGGGTTTCGTAGTTATCCTCCCGTATTCGCTCCCGTTCGGCTTCCGTCAGTGGACGAGGGGCTTTCCGCATTGGAGGCGCTGACGGCTTAGAGAATGTCGTCGATAGGGGGAAATGGTCTCCACCGTTCAGGAGAATCCGTTCACTTCCGGTGGTGGTGATGGTGGGGGTGGTGGTGGTGGTGGTGGTGTTAGTGGTAGTAGTAGTGGCGGCGGTGGTGGTGGTGGTTATGGTGGTGACAGCAGCGATGTCCGCTTTAGAGGTTGAATTTTCGCCCTTGTTGGTGAATTTCTGCTGTTTGTGAGGTTTGATGGGTTCCGGTTCGGGAGGAGGCTCTTCGGGTGTAGCATAACTGTTGCCACCGTTGTGGCAGGTCTTCAGGATATTGGAGATTTCCAACACATCGTTCATATCATTGGACGACGACGCGCTAGTGGATGCTAAACTGATGGAACTGCTGGTACTGGTGCTGGTGCTACTACTGCTGCTGCTGCTGCTGCTTAGAGTTGAGCTAGAGCTTGAACTTGGCCCGGAAATAACAGCACTAGGCTGAGGAGCGACCACCGGATGCAGATGGTGATGGTGCGGCGGGTGGTGATGATGATGGTGATGGTAGGGCATTGAAGCAATGGGGGCGGGTTGTGCGTACTCTGGAACTGTGATGTTCATGGGATCAGGTGGGGCTGGACCAACGCCAATGCTTCCGCCTTCGTCCGGTCCCTCGATGAACTTTCGTACGTCCGCATTTAACAGATTCTCCTCTTCCTTATCGTTGGGGAACTCAAAGTCCACCACTAATCGATCTTCGTGATCGTCATCGAGTTCCGACTCCGATCCCATGCTGCTCACGGAAGAATTATCGTCATCGGAGGTGAAATCAGCCAGTGAACTCGTTTCCGACGTCACACTGGACGAAGAGCTTAAACTCAACCCGAAGCACCGTCGCTTGAAAATATAATCCTTCCTAATTGGTCCCGCTTTACGCTTTCGGCTCAGTCTTGCATTCGAGTCTGTCCTATTCTTCAACGCGCCTGCTGCAATTTCACCCCGTCCGCCTTTTGTCGGTGCGATTTCGTTCAAATCCGCTTCGTCCACCATTACCATGTTCTTGTCCTTTTTGTACGGATTGCCAAACATGTGCTGCCGCACGTTCGTCGGTTCCAGCTCCTTCAGTGGCGCCTCCTTGTTCTTCAAATACTCCTGATAGTTACCCATGTCTGCAATCGGCAGGCAGTGCCCACTGTCCTTGGTGAACACCATAATCCCACTGGTTGGCAAACGGAAGAAATTTTCCCGCATCCGGGCGATCTCATCGATCAAATCCCTCCGGGGGATGTCGAATGGATTCCGGTAGTTCTTCGTCGAAGCCGGTCGCATCACAGTCGGTACCACAATCGTGTAGTTATCGAAACTAGCTATGTCCGCGTGCACCTTGTTGAACGCATCCTTCAACATCGGGTGCGATATCAAGTCTCGCTTCAGCGGAAGGCCCGGGTTTAGTTTTACCGTCTCCAGCTGATGGTACGCCGGCTTCGGTTGCTTCAGCTGCTTGAATACCCTCAAGCACAGATTCTCCTGATCCTGTTTGGCGGTGTTCTTCATCTGTTTCAGATAGGTTGCCACTGCCGGACTCAGATAGCTGTCCAAATTCTCCGGCAGTATGTATTGCACCAACTGGTAAGGTACATTCGGTGTCGACGCCAGTGCCCGCCGCAAGAACGGACAGTAGTACTGTGGGATCGATTTTACGTAGTTGCTAAACTTGTAGATCCAATCGTTCGGTGGATTCAGGTTGTACTTGTGGAACAGATCGTTGATCAGCGGCAGAAACGTCTGATAGTTGTACGGCAGCACGTACAGATTGACAACGGTCATCGTGCTGCTCGGCTTGAGAAATCCGAAAGGCATCTCGATCCCATGCATCCCACTCGACACGATCAGCGGCCATATCTTGTTGGTTTCCTTCTTGGACAGGATCTGCAGCGTCAGCGGACTCGGTTCCAGTTCGTACTTATCGATTGGGAAGTTCCTCAGCATCACCGGTTCATCGCAGCAGGGGGTGATGATTTTGATTTTCGGATGAGCATCCCTCGGCGGCAGGTTGCTCGTTTTCGGATCCGGCCAGTACGGTTCCGGTATGGGCCAAAAGCCCACCGGAAAGGTTTTCTGCTGCGGGTGCTTCTGTACGTAGATCATGCGCTTGATCGACTGGAACTGCAGATCGGCACCACCGCCTCCGTTTTCCCCATTGTTGGCGGTGAGCAACTGGTCAAAGTGGATCACCACTCCCGGCAGGACCTTCTGTACCAGACTCTCGATGCACTGGTTCAGCACGTACTGCGAGCGGATCTTGTACGATCGGCCACCGGTTACCTGAAAATGGAGACGGATGCGGTTTAGTTAGGAATGTCTTCTGAAATACGATGAGAAGAATCGAAAACGTTGGAATTAGGGGGGGGGGTTACTTGAGTACCTTTTAGATACTTTAACTTTGAAGTTTCCGAAATGAACGGTTGTGCGATACAACAAATCAAGCTGAACATTGCATTAGGTCCTAAGTAACATTGACAGATTCTCTTCGTCGACTTTCGACCTAATGCAATGTTCAGCTTGAAATAATCTTATTTTTGTTCTCTCTAAATTCAACTGGCAGCACTGTATAAAAGAAACAGCCGAAATGAAGTAAATCTCCCACGAAAACCGATATCGTGACGGGAATCCAGAAAACTGTTATAGCTTCAAGCGCCTGTTTACCAGTATAATGGTTAAGTATTCGAACGAAACCCCGGCGATGAAGATCCTGCATCTGCGAAACTGCTTGACTGATGATGATGATAGAAGGTTGATTATGTTGGATACGCATATCGATACGATTCTCGAATTCCCGAATATTAGTAAGGGAAATCGCGGTAAGTCAATCTCGAAACTGGTCGAAGTTTGTGCCAAGCATGCTGAAGCATTGAAAGACCATGGTTACGCAGTGAAAGGATAATCCGATCCGAGCTCATCATCGTAAACGTTCTATATGAGAAGCTGGACAGAGAGACTCTAGAACACTGGGAATTGAAACTGGGCACCGGTTAGATGCCAGTCTTTAAGAAGTTCTTGGATTTCTTAAGGGAAATGGGACGCATTCTGCAGTTTCGCTAATCGCTCCCAGCAGTTAACCGTGCTCAACAAGCAACGCCAAGCATTGGACCAAAACCAGTCAGTGCCAGTTTCGTCGAGATCGTTTGTTCAGACCACCAAGCAGAACTGCCCTTGCTGCAGAGAAGAGCAAGCATGCCATATACAAGTGCAGGAAGTTCCAGAGCTTAGTGCAATCCATCGTCATCGAATTTGTGCTTCAATTGCTTGAAGTCCAAGCACCGAGTTTGCTGACTGTCCGTCCGAATAAGGATGCAAAATCCGAGGGTGCGGTTGGCAGTATCACAGCCAAATCTCGAGCGCTATTGGATTCAGGGTTCGATAGTAACATAGTTAAGGAAAAGGTAGCATCCCAGCTGAATCTGAAGCTGCATCAAGTCGATCTACCTATCAGTGGCCTCAACGATATCCAGACACGAGTTAAGTACCTACATCGTTAGCATTGTTTCGCGCGTTAATTCTTTTTCCACGTCCATTCTAGACCTCCTGGTCGTACGGAAGGTGACATCCAATCTACCAGTCACTGAAGTGGATTACCGTTCCTGGCCGCTACCACAAACGTCAAGCTAGCCGACCCATCATTCCACACCCCCGGTGAGACTGACCTAATCACCGGCAACGAGACCAGGAAGTCCAAGGAATGCTTGCGTGTGTGTCGGCGATATGCTGAACAAGATTCTCATGCGATTCCGGGCTATCGAGAACGTTAGTTGGGCTAAGTCGGTAAAGGCGCAACTACAAAGCAAGACCATGCTGGAGATGGTTTCTCGGCTTCCCTGGGCATAGAGTATATGATTTTACTTGCCACACAATTATACTAATGCAAAAATGGTACAGGCATCGAAAGCATTCAATTAATAACTGTGGAAGTGGAAGCGCATTTAGAACACTAAGTTGAGAGCACGCAATAAGCAAAAACTTGAAATGCGAGGAAGAAGAAGAAGAACAGAACGTTGGTACGACTGTTGCTGAAGCGCTGGCTGATAGAGGAACACTTTAGGAAGACACACGTACGAGAAGAAGACGGACGCTATACGGGTTGACTACCGCTCAATGACCGCAAGAAGCAGCTGGGTGAGTCGTTCTTGATTTCTTTGGCCAAGGACCGGCCAAACGAGAACAGTTCCATTTGGTGGAGATCAACGAGGACACCCGAGATGGATACAATATATACCACACCACACCGTTTTCAAAGCCACGGGTTCCACAACAAAGGTTCGCAAGATATTTGAAGCCTCGGCCAGCACATCATGAGTTTCCCTGAACGACACTGTTTGTGTTGGACCAACAGCCCAAAGCGATCTGCAGACAATCATTCTTCGGTTCTGCGCGCATCCGATGGCTGAGCAAGAACGACCGCAAGTTCCAGAAAATAGTGTGGGTGGATAAAAACGGCGTACGCAAGGTAACTGTATCACCTCGATAAGGCGCTCATCGGAAATGGTGTATTGAATACCAATATCCTTAGTGAAGGGAATTATCAACAAGCTTGGGACACTTTGGAGGATCGCTACGAAAACAAGCGGGTTCTCGTAGAAACCCACATCCGTGGCCTGTTTTCACTACGAGAGATGTCATCGGAGACCCATAAGGAGCTGAGAGGTCTGCTAACCGAAGTTACTCACCACGTCGAGAGCCTGAAGTTCCTCCAGCAGCAGATTACTGGCGTTTCGGAGCACATGATTGTGTATCAGGTCGTCTCCGCGCTCGACAAATCGACCCGCAAAGCCTGGGAAGGGATCCAGAAAAAAGGACATCTTCCCAAATACGAACCAACCATCGCTTTCCTGAAGTCCAGGTGCCAAATCCTCGAGAATTGCGAGGCGGCATTCCAGACTAGCAAATCCAGCTCGAAACAGAAGCAAGCTCTTCCACCATCGAAGATCCATCCGCAAAAGAGCCATGTAGCATCGACCAGCCCATCCCAACCGACGAACTTGTGCGAAATTTGTGGTGGTTCTCACCGCAACCACCAGTGCTCGGCCTTGTCTAACCTTACTCCTGCCCAAAATAATGAGAAGATACGAACTGCTGGAGTCTGCTTCAACTGCCTGCGCAATGGGCATCGATCCAAGGACTGCCCTTCCGACAAGTCGTGCCTGAAGAAGTCCAACGTTTCTGCAGAAGCAGTAGCAAGCCCGCCTCTGGTTCAGGCTATTCCGAATCAACCGATGTCGGTGCAGACGATTCCTGCCCCAGTGGATCCACCAGTGTCAACAACCTGTTCGTCGAATGTTGTCTTATTTCCCAAGACGGTACTGTTGCTGACCGCAGTGGTACATGTCTTGGATAAAGATAACCAGCCATATCCGTGCCGGGTCCTTTTGGACAGCAGCTCCCAAGTCAACTTTGTAACCGAAGAGATGGTTAACCGCCTTGGCCTCCCAAAGAAACCAGCCAACGTTCCGATCGTGGGAATCAACGCCCTACGGTCCCTTGCCCGAGACAAGGTGGTGGTCAGGTTCCAGTCCCGTGTATCCAATTTCCACGCAAGCCTCGAGTGTCTGGTTACCCCCAAGTTCAACAGTCCGGATAAGGTAGGCTTGCTGTTCGGTGGGGAGTTATTCTTCGATATCCTGAAACCTGGTCAGCTGAGCCTAGCCGAAGGTCTTCCACAATTGCGAGACACTTATCGGGGGTGGATCGTAGCAGGTGCCATCAATGATCAGCTCGTGTCAAACGTGTCGCTCCAATCCAACACAGCCGTTGAAGACATTGAGCCAAGGATGCACCGGTTCTGGCAAGTCGAGGAGGTGCCGGACGTTCCCAAGCTGTCGACCGTCCACTTCCTTTCAACCTACCAACGTGACGAAACTGGAAGATTCATCGTGAAACTGCCGTTCAAGAACAATCTTCTCCAATTGGATAACTGTCGCAGTCTAGCTTTGAAAAGATTCCTGATGTTGGAGAAGCGATTAATCCGAAATCCCGAGCTGCAGGCTCAGTACGTGAACTTCATCCGGGAGTACGAAGCTCTCGGCCACTGCACCGAGATCAATGAATCTGAAGATCCACCCAACAAGCAAACCTACTATTTGCCGCATCATGCAGTGTTACGTCCGTCCAGCTCGAGCACGAAATGTCGAGTCGTGTTCGATACAAAGGCAAAGTTGTCGCCATCGGAACTCTCTTACAGAACGATCTGCACCATATCGCGCTAGGGTTCCGAAAATTCAAGGTTGCCATAACCGGAGACATCTCTAAAATGTACCGTCAAATACTCGAAGCCCTGTTGGATCGCAGTTTCCTTCGAATCTTTTGGAGAAAGCACCCATCGTTACCTCTACGTGTCCTGGAACTTTGTACCGTTCCGTACGGTACAGCATCGGCACCATATCAAGCAACCAGGTGTTCGAAGAGGATGGTGAGAACTTTCCTATCGCCGCTCGCATTGTGAAAGAAGAAACGTACATGGACGATTTACTCTCCGGTGCAGACTCGGTGGAGGACGAGGCTCAACAACAGCTGAAGCAGCTCCTTCGACAAGGAGGTTTCCCCATACACAAGTGGTGCTCAAATTCACCGGAATTCCTAGAGCATATTCCGGTGGAGGATCAAGAAAAAAGGATCATGTTGGAAGAGCATGGAGTGAATGAACCCATCAAAGTGCTTGGTTTACTCTGGGATCCCTCTGCAGACTCGATACTCATAGCCTATCGTCCAAATCCAACATTGCATCCGCAACGGCCCACGAAAAGAACGATGTACTCCGAGATCGCCAAGTTTTTTGACCCCTTGGGACTGGTTTCACCGGTCATTGTTTTGTTTTGGCTCGGCGAAGCTTCGCCTGCTCACCAGCAAATCGAAACTGGCTCCCCTAAAAGAGCTGTCCATCCCACGAAAGGAACTGTGCGCCGCTCTCCTACTAACCCGGTTGGTACAGAAGGTGTTACCAGCCCTGGATATGACTTTCCGTGGCATAGTCCTGTGATGCGACAGTACGGTAGTCCTCCTCCTTCTTGGATTAAGAAACCTCTCAACCAGCTACAGTTGTTTGTACGGAATCGAATCACAATTATACAAGAGCACACCAGTAAGTACCGGTGGGAGTATGTCCGGTCCCAACAGAACCCAGCAGACATCGTATCCCGAGGTCAACTAGTTGAATCCCTGAAGCACAACAGCCTTTGGGGGAATGGGCCCGAATTCCTGCTGAGTACTTTGGGGGAATGGTCCCGAATTCGAGCTGAGTACTACGTAGATGCCCCTGAAGACGTTCCCGACGA